AAAAAAAAAAAAAAAAAGAAATCCTCTACTGTACATTAATAAAGTATAATACCTGGAGTAGGGATGTTGAATTCCATCCTATTAACTTTTCAAATATATCTTCAGTGTTGTGTAATTTATGGGGCACATTAGAAAAATAGAGATTCCAGAGATGGATAAATAGGTTCATAAATGACCTAAAAATCATAATCATGAATGACAAATCAGAAGAAATGAGAATGCCTGGTTTGAAAGACATCCTCCCAGACTTCTGGAGGTGAGAAATTAGAATTCAAGGTGTCAGCAAGGTCATTTCTCTCTGAAGGCTCCAGAGAAGGATTCTTTCTTGTCTCTTTCTAGCTTCTAGCAGTTGCCAGCAATCCTTGTGTCCCTTGGCTGGTAGACACATCACTCCAATCTCTGCCTGTCATCATCTGGCCTTCTTCCCCTTGTCTCTGCATAATCACATGATGTCCTCCTCCCCATGTCTTCTTCACAACAGTTTCCTTCTCTGTATGTCTATGTGTCCACATTTTGCTCTTCTTCTTCTTCTTCTTTTTTTTTTTTAGCTGGAGTTTCACTCCGTTGTCCAGGCTGGAGTGCAGCGGCACACTCACCGCCACCCCAGCGTCTACCTGCTGGGCTCAGGCGAATCCTTCCGCCTCAGCCTTCCAAGTAGCTGAAACTACAGGTGCGAGTTACCACTCCTGGCTAATTTTTTTGATTTTTTTATTGTTGAGATGAGGGCTCGCCAAGTTGCCCAGGTTGTTCTCGAACCCGCGGGCTCAGGCAATCCCCTCACCTCGGCCTCCCAAAGTGCTGGGATTACAGGCTTGAACCACCGCGCCGGCCTGCTCTTCTTTTATGTTATTGGGTTAGAGTCCATCTTAACCCAGTAGGACCTCATTTTAAGTTGATGACATCTGCAAATACTCTAATGCCAAATATGGCCACACTGAAGTTCCTGGTGGACGAGAATTTTTTTTTTTTAGGGGAAGGGGTACATCATTTAACCCAGTACACCAGCTAAATGTTGCTGTTCTCCATGGATGTACCCTTGAACCTCTTCTGGTATTGTACACCCTCTCCTTTGACAGTCTTTTCCACTCCCATACATACAGTTGGAGCTAATATTTGCAGAGAGAAAATATTTTCACAAAGCTGTAAAAAGATAAAGATGTAAACAGTCATTACAGAACTCCTACTGTATTCTCGCATAGAGAGATTCGGTAACTCTTCTCAGGCTGCACAGCTCCTCAGAGCAAATAGGGGCCCATGGTTCAAAGCTCCTCCACTAAACCCTCCTGGCTGCTCCTCCATACACAGATTCATAGATGCAACTTTAGCTGCTTTACTTCGGATTAAAATTAAAACTTTCCGCAGAATGACTATGCAACAAAGCATAGTACGTATTATTCTCTAAAGCATCGGTAGTTCAGGCTTTGTCACCAGAAAGTCTTAGGACCGGTTCCTGGCTTTGCTGTGGGACAATGGGAAAGTTGCCTAATCTCTATGAGCTTCGGTTCTCAGAGACAAGAAAACACCGAGTCTCAGTATTTCTTGCGAAGATTAAATGATAAGCACAACGCCTGACACAGAGTGCATGAATCGAAGCTTTAGGGCTGATGTCCTCCCCCAGGGCCTCCGCGAGGTCAGACTTCAGAGCTCTGCACAGGCGTGCCGGGGCGCCGCCTAGGGGCGGGTCGGGGGAAGAACCGGAGATCGGCTCCGCCCCTCTGGGGGCGCCTGGCGCGCCTGACCGCCTGGGCTCTCCGCGCCCTCCGCGCCCCACACTCAGACCCGCGGCCGCCCGCGTCTCCTCTCCCTTAGTCCTTGAGACGGGAGCTTTTGCAAGGACTTGGGTCCAACGTGGAGTCAGGCACCGCCTGGAACAGCCCGGGCCCGGGCCCGGC